AGGCTTGAGTGCCAGCCTGCTACTTGCCTGGTCATAGGCAATGGACGCATACCTGTTGTCTATATGTAGAGGGACTCAGGGTCTATCCTTGCAGCATCTTCTACTTCCTCCTCTCTGTCCTCTGACTCCCCCATCTTCTGTGTTGTCTTTCCTACCCCTTCTCTCCTATATTCTCTTTTTCTTCTTCTCTAGCCTTCCATCTTGGTGCAGCACACCTGCCCCAATTCCCCCTGCTCTTTGGTACCTTGCACAGCTTGCCCTTGTTCATGCTAGCTCCTCCTTGCTCCTCTTTTCCTCTCCTCTCAATCTTGGTTTGGGGGCCAGAGCGCTTCCCCTCAGGCCCCAGTGATTTGTTCCCATTAAGCTTGACAATCGTTCATGTGTCAATTAGAAAGAGGTGGTTTTCCCCAGCCTTCCTGCCCTTTCCTGAGGCCTGTGGAGATGCTCAGATCAAGCAAGCACCATCTGCTGCATCCATGCAGGCGATGGGCGAGTGTTTTGTTACCTCTAGGGAGGCAGAGCTCTGTGGGTACTGAGAGTTAATGTGACTTGTTTGGGCAACTTGATATATTGATATTGATAGAGCTGCAGGGTTGGGCTGAGAAGGCTGGAGGAGGGGTGCCCAGGATGCAGTTGGCTGTGGAGGTGTGTGTGTGTGTGTGTGTGTGTGTGTGTGCGCGCGCGCGCGCGCATGTTCCTCTCTATGACTCTCTAGGTTCTTGGCACTGTCATGAGACAAAGGTGTACAAACAGATGGATGGGATTTGCTGTAGCTTGAATCAGAACCCTTTGCTGCCCAAGGGTTTGCTGTCCTCAACTCTGTGCCCTCCTCACCCAGGAGCCACCCCAGACCCCAATCTGCATCCATTCAGGAGGAAGTAAACCAGAAATAACAGGGAGGAAGGACATTGACCTTCAGTAATGGTTGAATGTCAGAACCACAGAGAAAAGGTGTAGGAAACAAGTCAAGGCCCCAACTGAACAAAGCCAGTCTTCTCAGTGGGATTTTTGAAGAAAATGCAGCAAAATAACTATTTATAGAAATATACACAGGATTAAGACATGTAGAGATATTGAGGTAGCAGGGATGAGAGGTATCAGGAACTAGCCCCTGGAGCAGAAGGGGCAAATGGATGGCGTAAGTTGTTCCATGAGAACTAGAGCTGTCAGAGCTCCTAACAGCATCAGATAGGATTGAGACTCAGCCTCCATCAGAAATTTGGTACCGAAGCAGGTAAAGGGCAATGAGGAAGTACACTGTATCATGTGAGAGTGTCCCATTGGCCAACCCCAGTAAGTACTGAGAATGCTGAACGCTAAATGATAATAGTCCATAAGGTTTATCTACGGGATATGGACTCTCGGGGTCGAGAATGGATCTGAGGGTGCCAAAGAGAAAAACTAGTAAAGTTCAGGAATGAATATTACCCTTGGAAGCTCAAGTTCTTAACCATTAGGTGATATTGCCTCTCCATTTTCAGAGGAATGCATGGATAGATTCTGCATAGACTCAAGCTTACGAGTGTTCTCACAAACCTTGCTGTCTACTCAGCGTCTCCCCTGGATGTCTTGAGCATGCCCTGCATATCTACATTAAACGCATGTTCTTCTCTTTTCTGAAATCTCCTCTCTCTGTATTCCTGCCTTCATGGAGCTTCCACCAATCTGCGACTGTGCAAACAGTCCTGCCCAACCCTGCCTCTTCTGTATCCCCATGTTCCAACCAGTCACCCACCTTAAAGTTGTCCCTATAAACTTAATCTCCAATACATCTGCTTTTCTCTCTCCACCACTCCTCCCCTATACCAGCCCACCTCCGTTTCCCACTCGGGCTTCTGCCCTGCTGAACATCCATCGTCTCTGGTCATCCTGCTATATTGTCTCACTTCCATCGCTGGACTCCGATGAGTCTCGCTGATACCATGGGGGTTTTCCCTAAATGCAAACCCGAGAAACAAATTACCCTCCTACCCTCTGGAGTCTGGCCTTTGTTCACCTCTCCAGCATCACTTCATGTTACCTGCTTTCTGTGTTTCTGCTGGTTCCATGTTTCTTCTCTCCACTGGACCTTTACCTAGGCTGTTCCTGCAGCCTCTTTTAACCCCCTCATCTCTTCTCACTTTACATTCTCTACCTTCTACCCACCTGATTAATTCATGTGCCCTTTAGAACTAAGAGCCCTGGTTGCATAGCAGGTTAAGTGTTGGGCTACAAACAAGAAGCTCAGTAGTTCAAACCCAGCCTCTTTTCCTGGGGAAAAAGGTGAGGCTGCCTGCCTCTGAAAAGATAGATAGTCCCAGAATCCTTTTGGAGCAGTTCTGTTCGGTCCTACAGGGTCTTTATCGATTGGACTCAAGCTGATGGGATTGGTTTGGGGGTTTGATTTTTCAGATCTTAATCACTATTCACTTCCTTATGGCAAGTTTCCATATTTTTCTTAGACAAAATACTATCCCTCCAGAAGCTCAGGTAATGTAGTGCATCACGCATAGGACTGCTAGCCACAAGTCCAGCAGTTTGAACCCTCCAGTTGCTCCACTTCCTACACCTGCAATGAGATACAGCCTTGGAAACCCACAGGGACCATTCGACTCTGTCCTATGGGGACAGCTGGGACAGGACCAACTCGGTAGCAGTGAGTTTGAACATAGCCTTTTATGTCATCATTCACTACGCCTTTATAAGGCTTGTAGATTTTACATCTACATGTCAATTATTGTATTGATATTGATCTCTATCTATGTGGTGATCATCATGAGAGTGTGGTTTGCTTGTTTGTGCCATTGTATCCTCTGTGCTCAGCAAAGTGGATTGTAGATTTTTCAAAACTTCTTATTGCGTGAATGGATGAGTCAATGGAGAGGATGTTGACAGACCTGCATGAGTCACTCAACCCTTGGAGGTTCCAGATGTTGGTTTTCTCTGGACTCCAGATCACAGAACATCCCACTTCTTACCATTGGGGACAAGTCGCTCGTCTCCCTGGGCCTAATGCATCAGAACTGGGCTTGGGGTGCTTCTCAGAATTGTACTAGGACACACATCTGCTGGCGGGTGCTGCTGCATCACAGACTTGGAATAGGGAGACCACGTTTGGCATCTTCTTAATTCACTTTCAAGCAGACCCGAGTAGATAGCATGTAAAAGAGGTAGCAAATGAGGAAGCTGTAATGCCACCATCTGGTTCAGATGCATTGCCAATTCACTTGTCCTTAGCAAATATAGTTTCCTCTATCTCCTCAAAGATGGGGTCTCTCCCAGAGCCCAATGCACAGACGAACCCTCTGGGTATGAGTTGCCTCATCTGTTCAAGTGAGTAAGCTTTTCTGGAAGCAGCAAGAACAACAAAGAAACAGGAACTGGTTAGAAATCAGGTTTGAGATGTTCCAGTGCCTCCTTAGCCCCGTTGGATGGAATCCCCTTCAACGATGCAGGGATCTTTGACCTGTCTCTTCTCTTGGCATTGTTCAGCGTGTAGTGCCAACTGAAGAAGCTCTTTCCTAGCTTCTCCAGATCGAGACGGATCGAGGGCTGACTGTAAAGATTTCAAAGTCGGGGCTCTCTGGGAATTTCTCAGAGGCAGTCAGGCCAGTTACCAAATATCCCTTTCTTCTTTCTGGTTGCCTCTCGTTGCTTTTCATGTTGCCTCTCTGCTCCCTTCTCAAGTGTTTCTACTGTGTATTCTTTTATCTTTCTTTCTCTACCTTCTGACCTCCCTGTCATTATTTCTTGGAACATTTCTACCACTCTTAGTTTTTACCTTGGAGGAAATGTGACTGCTGGCAAATCATTAGTGGGGAATGGTTTCCCCTGGCACATTGCCCTGGGGATGAGATGATAGGAAGTGTGGCCCCGACTCTGCCACTTTCTACCATTGAGCAAGCCTGAGCCCTTCCTTGGAGTTTGGATTTCCTTTCAGGAAAATGATAATGCACAGAATGACCTACATAGCCAACCAAAGCCAAACCAAACCAGTTCCCATAGGGTTAGCTCCACCTTACAGCACCCCACCCCACCCCCAGTGTCGGACTAACACGGTGCTCCCCAGAGGTCTAAAGACTATGTCGTTTAAGAAGCAGATCTTCCAAGGCATCTCTGGATGGGTTCAAGCCACACCAGCCCCTCTCTGAATAGTCCGGGGCAGCATCTCTGTTGGCTTCACACAAGGCTGATGGACTTGGACTTCTCTCTACTTTCACCGCCACTCCCTGACTTTGTTCACCATCCCCTCTGGCTGGTTTCTGCAAAGGCTTCCCTGGTGGTCTCCTCCCTGGCCTCTACTTGCACCCTCCATACTGCGGTTCCTAACCTTTACCAAAGAGATTACATTTGAAAATATCAATTTCTTGTTTAAAGCCTTTCAATGACAACCTTTTGCCATTAGGATAAAAACCTAGCCTCCTGAATGTAACGTAGAGCATGTATTTCCTTGCAGCTCAGTCTCCCACAAGTTTCTCCTTCATGCTGGCAGCTGCATGGAGCTCCTTCCCTTGCTCCGAGCATCATGCTCTTTCGGACTTGTGATCTCTTGCACATAGTTCTCCCTTTGCCCAGGGCACTCTTATCAAACATTTCTACCATCCCCTGCTTGATTGGCCTTGCTGTGCTCACTCCTACTCATCCTTAAGATCTCCACCAAGATCGTGTCTCTTCTAGAAAGGCTATCTTACCATCCAGGATGGAGGAGTTGACCCCTCTTAGTGCTCCCTTTGCCTGGATGTAGCCCCTACCTAATTCAAACGTAAGAGAATCATGTATTGTGTTGAGCTTTTCATGACCATCTATGACAGCCCTAGGGGTAGTCCCTGGACCATAGGTAGATGTGGAATAAACAAATTAGCCAACAGATACATTTGTGCTGGGACAAATGGGTTGTGATTCTGTGTTATATTCACAGTGGGTCAGGGAGGGAATTTCAGGGATTCAAGGTGGCCAGACCCAGTCCTCCAAGGGATTGGGTGAGCCTAGCCCTAACCTCAGCCCCGTTGCCCACCCTGTAGCAGCAGCCGAGGCGACGCAGGAGACAGTGGAGTCCCTGATGCAGAAGTTCAAGGAGAGTTTCCGCACTAACACGCCCATCGAGATCGGTCAGCTGCAGCCAGCTCCACGCAGCATGTCAGCAGGGAAGCGGAGGCGGAGAAGCAAGTCTCGAGGTAGGCCCCTCGTGCCTCTTGCCAAGGAAATCATGAAGCTGTCTCCAGGTACCGAAAATGCTGGGGAGAGCTGTACCCTCTTCCCTGACTTCCCACTGGTTATAGAACGCATGGCTCTGGCTCTCCAGTCCATCGTCTCAATGGAGACCTTTGAGACAGCCGACCTATGACCCCAGGTGTTTACCTGAGCTCTCTAAGTCCCAACTGCTTAACCTGAGACTTTGAATGGCTCCCCCATCTCTGCAGGTGATTGATTAACCAGATAGACGGTGCCCGACACATAGTAGATGCCCTTAAAATTGCAGCTAGTCCGATTCTTGAGGAGACAAGAGAGGCAGGATGAATGTGTGGAAGGCACTCTCAGGCCAGGAGTTAGAAGCAGTGGTTAGGAACAATTCTTTAGTGGGTTCTGCCGTATAGTGGTCATGAGCAAACCTGACAGAAAGGAATTCAGCTTTTCGTTCTTCTGCTTTACAGTATTACAAACTTGGCCAGGTCTGTCTACTTCTTTAAGCCCCTCTATTCTCACAGAATTGTTATAATATCTTACCAAAATGCCCAGCTAAGAATGGAATACAAAGTAATTCTTTCCCTCGGACCCATTTTCCCTCCTTCTTTCTCTTCATTCTACATTGTCATTTTCTTCTTCCCCTGCCTTTTTGGTATCTTTGCCTATAGAAAGAGTCCCTTCTCATTGCCTGATTTCTAAATTCCATCTTTTTCTTTCCCTCGGTCCAATCTGTAGTCTCCAACCATTCTCTCTTCTTTCCGCTGCTCCCTTCTGCAATCCCAGGAGCTTGGTGCTTCATATGCAGCCACAAAAGCTCCTCCCATAGCTGGGTCCCAATGGGTCCAACCCCTTCAGGTGCTCAGGCTTGTTGACGTGACATCCGGGGCCAGAACAAGGTTCTAGTCTCTCTGCTGTCTCTTCTAAACGCACGCACTCTCACTTCCATGGGTTCCCTATGATGGTCCCTCTTCGTGGAACCACATTTGTGTCCTCTGTGGACACAATATCATTGCCATTTATTGAGAACTTAACTAGATTCTGGGCAGCAGACTAAATGTTATTTGCATTTTACCTCCTTCAATACCCACAGTAATCTCATGAAGCAGGCACAGTAGAGATCCCCACTTTACAGATGAGGTCCTGAGAACTGTATTAGCTTGTCCAAGACGAAAAACCCTAGTAAATGGTGGCACCAAAGAGAATCATGAAATCTGAATTCCTACCACTAGATCTATATTGGCAAAGCCTGCCCTGAATGGCACTTCCATAAAAATATCACTGATTGCTCCCATCAAAATCCACGCTGAGTTCTCCCTTAGGTTTTCATCACGCATGTGCTGAACACCCATTTCATTTTCATGTAATTTGCCATTGCCAGCCCCTCTGCCCTGCTATCTAGAGAGTTCCTTGGACATAATAAATGCTTGTTGTTTGACTCTTTGTTGTATCATCTTCATTACCACCGTCACCTGTGACCTCCTCCCTGCAACTACCTGCCTTTTGATTCAGACTTGTAAAAATGGCCACTGTCATCTCTTTAGAAACGTAAAGCAGATAACTCTGATAAGTCCATCTGCTGCTCAAAATCTTCCAAATGTTATTGGTACCTATGGGTATCAATAGTACCAGCGAGTCAATTCCAACTCCTAGCAAACCTATAGGTCAGCGTAGAACATCCTCAGAGGGTTTCCCAGGCTTAAGTCTTTATGGGAGACGATTACCAGGTCTTTTCCCCCAAGGAGTAGCTGGTGAGTTTGAGCCACTGACTTTTAGTTTAGCGGCCAAGCACTGAACCCTTGCACCATCATTGTTCTTAGAATAAAACCCAGACTCCCCACCATGGCGCACAGACTTGCACTGTCTGACTCTTGCTCTCTTTCTTCCCTGGGCGCAATCTAAACTGCCTTCATGTTACAGGAGCACAGTAGATGGCTTATTACCTCTTTGGAACTGGAGCATTTCTTGTTTCCTCTGTTTGCCAGCCCTCCGCTCCCATTATTTCCTGACTGTCTACTTCTTACCCCTCAGCTCTCAGTTCAAATGCCGGCCCCTCAGCTCTGTGACATGACAGCCAAGTTTAAAGCTTGCTCCTTTCCGTGGGCACATGCTACTGTCTGTTAGAGAACACAGTTTAACTCAGTGGTTCTCAACCTTCCTAATGCCACGATCCTTTAATATAGTTCCTCATGTAGTGGTGATCCCAAAGCCATAACATTATTTTCGTTGCTACTTCATAACTGTAATTTTGCTACTGTTAATAATCAGGCAACCCCTGAGAAAGGGTCATTCGACCCCCAAAGGGGTTGTGACCTACAGGTTGAGAACACTGGCTTAACTTCTTCCATAGGATGTACTTGGCCTAGAATTATATTGATTTAATTGCTTACTTATTATCTTTCTTTCTTAAATGTATACTTCATTTTCCTAAACCTAATACATAGGAAGTACTTATTATGCTTATGATTCTTCCTGAGTGTAATAGTATTCAAGCGCATTGGAAAGTGTTTCCGTTTTATTAACATTCAGTGTGGTGGTGTAGGTAGGTCTGTGGTGAAGCTAAAGTTTCCTGGTGGGGACTTCTAGCGATTCCCCCTCCCGCTATAGAAGGGCTCACATTCTCTGTAGAAGGGCAGTGCATTAAGCATGCTCAAGTCAGTGCTGTTAAAGTAATCATCAAATTGGCTTAGGCACACCACTGAGTAATGCAAGTTTGTTGTTGTGGGTTTTCTCCATGGAGAAGCAAGGAGAGTATATGTCAACCCTGTGTACTGCCCACTGTATTTACCAGGGATCTTCAGCATATTCTTATAAATTAGCATGTCCTGGTGCAAACGTTCTGTGAATGGTACATACTCCATTTTCCATTTGGAGATTCCCGAATACAGCTAAGTCTGTTAAAGGCCCTGAGAAGTCCTACAGTAAAGAAGCTGGGCTCCTTTGTATAGGTAGGTCAGTGTGAAACCATCTTAACCCCAGCCTCTATTTTTCCCATTTATTCACATCATATGCAACACAATGCCTATAAAATGTCATTTTGGAAATGCTTCTTTAGCCTACACTGACCATCAAAAATCTCCAATAAAATCCCAGGCTTACACCATCTCTTCCCTCCCCCTGCCATGGAGGTGGTCCTGAGCCTTCTGGTCTGGAATGGGAGCACCTGGTCCTTCTCTGCTTCATTAGGCTCCACGCCCAGTCCATGATGCCCAGCGGTTTCCAGCAGATGGAATGGGTAGCTGAGAAGCAATGTCATGGAACTGAGCACATGCTTAAAAGCAGCTCCAATGTGTTTCTGCAGCTACGACTCCTCCTAAGAGGCCTGATGGAGGCTGAAATGCATCGCCCGTAGCCAGAGAGAGGAAGGCAAGGGTATTTCATTGCTGCCTTCGTGTTTGTGACAAGGCTTTATGAGGCAGCTGCTAAGTAGTCATTCCCCAATGTCCATGGGCAGTGAAAAGGAGGTGTTGGCATTCAAAAAAAACAGGGGATAATTTGTTTTGATGTGAGAAAGAGCTTCTGGAGTCCAAGCATTAATGCTTTTTAAAAGCAAGACTTCCCATATGACATTCAACTCCACCAAGGTCAAAGGAAATGATCTCAAGCAACTTAATAAGGCTTTTTAACCCTTGATGGTACTATCAGGTAAGCTGGACTACTAAGCTCAGGGTTGGTGCTTTAAGGTGAGGCTATCTGCTCCTGTAAAGATTTACAGCCTCAGAAATGTAGAAGGTCACTGTGCCATAGTGGCTCCACATCAGGCTTCTATCTGCAATGTCCCTAGTTCAAAACCACCAGCTCACTCTATAAGACAAACTGTTTGTAACCCCAGTTACAGTCTCAGAAACTCACAGGGACCATTCTCCCCTGTCTCAGAGGGTTACTGTGAGTTGGCATAAACCCTCTGGCAGTGGCAGTGACAAGCTGATGCAATGATGAGTCTTTATTGACTCAATGGCAGTGAGTTTAGCCTCAATTTCTTCACCCATAAAATAGTGCTTATTATACAAACAGTACATGTGGGTGATGATTACTTAGCTTGGTACTAAGCACGTGGTTTATCATCAGTGAAGGATGGCTGATATGATATTAAGGCACAAAATTGCTAACCCTAAAATTGGAGGTTCACGTCAACCCGGAGGTACCTTGGAAGAAAGGCCTGGTGACCTACTTCTGCAAAATCAGCCACTGAAGCTGCATAGAATGCCACGTCCCTTTGACACACATGCCATGTGTTGTCATTGATTCAAGGGCAACTGGTAATGCTTTTGGTTTTAGTATTAGCTTTGACATCAGGATCCTGCTGATTTGGTCTCCAACGTCTGACAAGTCCAAATCCATCCCATCCTTGCCTGGCCTCTGGCTCTGACTTGGTTGATGTTTCCTTATCGCTCACTGTTCCCTGCACCAGTCTCTTCATCCAGTCTTGCCAACCATGGGTCCATCTTCCCTCCCGAGATGGGAGAGATCTCTTGAGCACAGACTCACTACATCTGGCCATGCTATACCCCTGTCTAGAACATTTCCTTCCACTCTGCCCCTTGAATTGAGGCATATCAAACTTTTACAGTGAGGTCATACTAAAGGCATATGACAGTGAACATGCCCCCACCCCCACCCCCCTTCAAAGATCTGCAGCTATGCAGGAAAGAAATCAGTCATAAGCCCTAAATTCCAAGTTCATCTTGGAAATATATTTGCATGATTATTTTAGCTTGAACTATGCTATACTGAGTAGCGCTGGTGGAGCTGGAACCACTAACCCCAAGGTCCATGGTTCAAACCCACCAGCTGTTTCAAGGAAAACACATGAAGCTACCCGCTTCCATAAAGATCGATGGCCCCAGAAACCCTTTAGAGCATAGCTGTGAGCTGGCATCGGCTTGGTGGCAGTGGGTATGCTACATCACTTGCCAATTAGGTTATTTCATATTTACTCGGCACGTCTACAAGTATTATTGATGCTCAGGAAAAATCATCTGGATTAGGTTGATTGCTCTGAGATAATAATGAATCATCATCAAGGGGTTGCCTCGGATTA